CCGTATTCCAAATGTAAGGAGGTAGTTCAACTCAGATTTTCCCCAAGTCCTGCTACATTATGGAACAGACTCCTGTGTGGGTGCTTCCCTGAACACCACAATTCTAACCACTTCAAAACAATTTTCAATCGTTATCTATCCTCCTTAGCCTCCCTACCGTCAAATCACGCTGAAAACACCGGTTCTCGTTCGATCACCGGAGTTAAACGGCGTCGATCCCAGTCAGTATTTAGATGGGGGACTCTTTGGGAACCATTAAAGCAAATAGATTGAATCTGAAATAAGCAAGAAGCGTCTGACGAGATTTTAACTCCCATTTTCGATATTCTCAGGACAAGCCTATCATGGATGCCGCCAAGTCGGAGTCAGACCTACAGTTATATGATTACCTCTCCTCATATTATTACCCCTGCCACATCTAGTAGTAGTCCTTTTCTTTCATGTTCTGAGGCCCCTCAGGGTGTGAGCGAGCATGACTCTCCACAACTTCCTCTCCTTTATATCTCTGAGAAATGTTTGTCACCTTACTATCCTTCCCAGTTCATGTTCTGACATTCCACTTACACAAGCTCATTAAGCAGCTTACAAGAGGTTTTTCTCTGCCCCCCCTTGCCGTCAACATATCCTTTGATTGTTCAATTCTCCAAGCTATCTTTCCTTATTATATGACATAGAAACTTCAACGGTATCTTTTTAATTCTAAGTACAACTTTGTCTTAAAACTTCGTTTCTGAAATGTCCTTCCATTTTATTCTCAGCATCCTTCTGTAGAACCATATCTGTTGCCTCAAGTCTCCTTATCCCATGTAAGGAAATTCAGAAGCATTCAATGCATTATAGGAAGATTAATATTAGATAACTGTTGAGCAATCTATATTTGTTTCCAACAAAATTTTCCTGTTGCTTAATACTTCGTTTAGTTTTTTGAAAGGCATCTTTCTCTACTTCGATGGGGCTCCGGATTTCTGAGTCAAATTTTTCCTCGATTTTCTAATGTGGCTGAAGTCCGTAAGTTACCTTTTTTTCCATAATTAAATTTAGTTGTCGTAGACTTTAACTTTAATAAAAAGCAACAATGAAGATGAAAGATGGTCGAAAGTAATAAAAGTATTTAATGTAAGTAAAACAAAGACGATGTTAGATTTGATCGGTTCCGAGTGCAGCGGAAGTTCAAAATGTCGCTGACAGATCGAGTTGTCGACTGGTGTGGAACGCCAGACACATCGACCGCCAACAGTGACATTTTGTTTTCTTAAATATATGGCAAATGGCTTTCATTGACCGCCTACTATTTTCTTGAATTTCTCTGTAATGTTGATAAAGATAATGTTGGCACAATGTCGCTTAAGAAGATAAGCAAGAATCAAGTTAATCTTCGATTACCGGCTTGAAGATGTCTACGATATCCGAACGATGAGCAATGACAAAAAAGAATTGGAAGAAGAGCAAATATGCAGTTGGAAAAACAGGAGAAGAAAAGAAAAACGCTTACAGTGATTTAGATAATTAAAAATGCAAGGCGAAAATGGTAAATATCTATACCAAACAACTGTCAAATTTTAAAAACATGTCTGAAAATAAAATAAAAAGACAAGTATTAAGAAAGAAAGAAGGAAAAAGAAAGAAAAGAAAAACAGTCCGAGAACAGGTCAAAACAGTCCGGCGAACAGTGTGGCACGGCCGACACTGTCCGGCGAACAGTGGCACGGCCGACACCGGCAACAGTGCGTCCGGCGACACTGTCCGGCGAACAGTGCACGGCCGACACTGTCCGGCAAACAGTGCGGCACGGCCGACACTGTCCGGCGAACAGTGCGGCACGGCCGACACTGTCCGGCAAACAGTGCGGCACGGCCGACACTGTCCGGCAAACAGTGCGGCACGGCCGACACAGTCCGGCAAACAGTGCGGCACGGCCGACACAGTCCGGCAAACAGTGCGGCACGGCCGACACAGTCCGGCAAACAGTGCGGCACGGCCGACACAGTCCGGCAAACAGTGCGGCACGGCCGACACAGTCCGGCGAACAGCGCGGCACGGCCGACACAGTCCGGCGAACAGTGCGGCACGGCCGACACAGTCCGGCGAACAGTGCGGCACGGCCGACACAGTCCGGCGAACAGTGCAGTCAGAAAATTGAAAATAGCGTTAAAAAAGGAGGCGTAGAGAAAGGAAAAATTAATTGGGGGGGGGGATGGAAAACAATTTTTTTTAAAATAAAGAAACTTTCGGCCATAGCTTTTTTTTCTCCCTGATGTTCCCGAATAGATGCAATTAATCGTGCTACTAGATTAGCAACTTGGTCTCACCAGTTTACTGTTGAGCGAGCTAGATGCAAGCACCATTTCTACAGTTTCTTTTCTCGCACTTCCCACCTGTGGAACTCCCTATTTCTTGCTTCCGTAATAACTACAATCTTCAAGAATATAAATACAAACGTCAATCGCCATCTTATGTCTTCTTGAAGCCTGTTCCATTTTTATCCTTTCCTCAATCCCCCACATTCTTTTTTACTTCCTGTAAACCGCCCCTGTTCTAGTTGCATTACTGCATTGCTTGGACTAAAACGATTTTAAAAAAAGGAAATATAAATAATAATTCGTCTTGCTTCTTGAAAAACAGCTGTTTAATAAAACAGCATTTAATAGGTTTACACAGCTCTACATTAGGCTAAAGAGTGAAGATGTTTCGGGTTTCTGACCAAACTCATCTTTGCGATATGAAATGAAAACTAAGAAAAGATTAAAAATCTTAAACTAAGATCAATGGTTAATTATGGCTTTGCCAAGATCCCCTCCCAGGCTTCACTCGCTCAAAGACTATCCTTCTTTGAACATTGTGGACTGGCGCTACAGAATCACGAACAAAGAAGTGTACCAAATAACAGAAGCTATATCATTTGAGGACAACCAACAGCTAAAATGGATAGCACATGTTCCTCGAAGAGAAAACAATGGAATAATCAGGATGTTGACATTCCACACTTCTTCAAATAAAAGGTTAGAAAGGAAACGTCTATCAATATTGGAAATAGCGATAACAGCTTGAGAGAGTTGAGAAACCTATTTTTCTAAAAAATTGTTTTGAAAGAAAGATTTTATAAATTTCAACAGAAACCGGTACTGGCTGCTCGCTCAATAAATACCAAATGTTCATTTGCAGTGAAATGGACCATGTTATTATTATTAATGTCAACAAAATTCCTAAGAGACAAATCCTACAAATTGTATTTTAAATAAATCAATTTTGTGTCATATATCCGAAACGGTCATCGCCGAAGTACAACAAAATTAATTATTTAAAAAAAAAAAACTTTAAAAATATACTCTCCTCATTTTACTTTTATTTTCTATAAACCGACATCGCAAGACATAATATTGTATGTAAGAGCGAAATTTGATTGATAGCTATGGTTAATTTTACTGGCCATTGCTTATTAGTTCAATCTTCGATAAATAGCCAAGTATTATATTGAATTAATTGATAGGTCTTATGGTAAGAAAGTTAGGTCACTATGTCGTGATAAACAATTTTTCTCGCCAGAATCTCACACATTTATAAGCCTATCATTCGTCCATGAATTTAATATTTCCATCACATCTGGTCTGGTTCTTCTGCGATGTATTTAGAGATTCTTGATAAAATGCAAAAAAAGAATCTGCGATGTTATTGGTCCTGACCTGGCATCTCGGCTTTAGTCACTTTCCTACTGCCATAACGTAGATCCCTTGTGCCTTTTCTATAAATATCTTCATAGTAATTGTTCTGGTGAGCTTTCCTCTTTCGTACCTCAAATTTATGAATTTAAGCGCAATACTAGATTGACAGATAGGTCTCACTATAGATGTAAACGTAAGTTCTACGCTAACAGTTTCTTCTATCGCACTTTTCGCTTGTGGAACACTTCCGGCTTCTTGCTTTCTACTCAACTTTGATCATCAAATATTTAAATGAAATGTGAATCGTTATCTTTTGTCGTATTTCCTGTTCGTGTTTTCTTTAATAGTTTTTTTTTTTTTCATATTCTCTCAATCTCAACAACCCTTTGCGTCTTAGTGGCTTTATCGCCTGGCTTGGAGTGAAATGATTTTTTTTAAAAAGATAGTGGGCTTGTGCAAGACTAAGACATGTATTAATGCATATGTTTACATATCTTTTTATGAACGCATCTAATATCAGAAAATAAAAGACTTAGCCTATATGGGTCACGAAACTGGTTACGTAGCGGCCGCATTGTTTCAGCATACTTACATAATGCTGAAGAATGAGGCACTGGTAGAATTTTTCGTCCGTAACGAAACCCAGACAAAGAAATAATCTCGCTAGCTACCCCCCTTTTAGCATCAAAGAAATAAGATATGAAAAAAAAAAAAAAAAAAAAAAAAAAAAAAAAAAAAAAAAAAAAAAGGGGTAATATTTTTTAGAAATTCAAATGTAAGCAAAACATTCCTTGAAAAAAAATAAAATAAAATCCTTTTCTCAGGGTTTAATGCCTGAGAAAATTCTAAATACTGAATGTCGAGGCTGGTTAAGGAAAGATTTGTCTATATTTCCGAAATCTCCTAAAGCCGGCCGGGTATAGAAATTAATACAACATAGGAACAATACGGAATGCTGGAGAAAAACAATAACAACAATTTGTAATATGAGCTCTGGTAAAAAAAAAAAAAATGATGCTTACTGAGGCATTAGGTTTATAAGTCACAAACATTCATACACTAATGTCCACAAAAACAAATGACTCGGTGGATAAAAGCGTTTGTTGAATTGTGAGTTCAATAACTGACTTCAGCTGAGGTGAACAAAAAACAGGAAATGTTGAAGGGAACTAGAACAATCTACCCCGTTGGACGAAATAAAGGGTTCAGTTCGAAATTCTAATGACCTGAAGAAAGCCGTAGAACAACGGCCGAAACGTCGTGAATATGGCAACAAAAATGAGGACAACAGTCCGAACAATGTAAATAGTGTAAATAATGAGGCAATGGTTTACAATTTTTAATAAGTAAAAAAGATTTGTTCATTTTCAGAATTTGAGCGGTTTTAGAATCATTTCTAATATATATATATATATATATATATATATATATATATATATATATATATATATATATATATATAAGAAAATGCAGAAAAAAACAAACAAAAATCTTAATATACAATTATGCTGTATTAATGTTAATATAAAGTCGACGTCGGACGTTTCGGGTCTATTTAAGACCATCTTCATGGACATTTTCATTTAAACATAATTAACATTAGAACATATAAAAATATATATATTTGCTTACATACTGTCTACTGGAAATACAAACCTGAATTTACTTTATAACATGGAAGACTTCAAGCTTGGACGAGAATATAAGAATCTATTGATCAAGTAAGGAAAGGATTTATTATCGAACTGTTTTTTAGAACTGTTCCATCGTTTTTGAAATCATTTTTGATTTGCTTTGTAATGTGAAGGACTTCAAGCTTGTATAAAGATATAAGAACCTATTGATCTCTACGTATTCCTACATCAACGGAAGGGATTTCTTGAACTGTTTATATAAAATAGTTCAATCGACTTTTTTAATATTTTAATATTTGGAAATCATCTTCGAATCGCCCACGTGACGACGACGTGATCATATTTAAACGGAACGCTGATCTTATATAAAAATTTCAGTTATCTGTTTGGATTAGTTGTGCTCTTATGTCCATCGTCTTTTGTGTTAAATTTTTATATGTTCTAATGTTAATTATGTTTAAATGAAAATTAACATGAAGATGTTCTTAAATAGACCGAAACGTCTGACGTCGACTTTATATTAACATTAATACAGCATAATTGCATGTTAAAATTTTTGTTTGTTTATTCTCTATTTTTCTTCATACTGTCGGATCTATATCCATATATTTGCTTATATATATATATATATATATATATATATATATATATATATATATATATATATATATATATATATATATCTTAACCGCGAGAGTTTTAGAAATTAACTTCTACCCAAAAGTTAAGTAAATTCGACCATTAAAGAAAAGTCACTTAAACACCTAAATAATTCCAACATTGGGTTACAAAGAACATTGGTCACAAATGATGACGGTAAAAGTCCGTAATATATCTGGACTTCATGCTCTGTTTAAATTTTACAAATTTTGGTAACGCCACCCAATACGGCATAGAAAAGGACGCTCTTTACGACCTCAAGAGATTTCGACAATATGAAGTTGAATATTTTCATAGACGTACGGACTGATCACCTGGTAAATTTCTTCGAACATTTCATTAGTATTTAATACATTTTTCCTGTTTTATCCCAACAGCAGCAGGCATTATTTACATTATTCAAACTATTGTCCTCATCTTTGTCGCCATATTTATTACTGATGTCAGTTATCAGTTATCTCCTGTTAATTCCCCTCTGAAAGTTCTCCACTGATAACTGACATCCATTAAACATGGCACATGGAACTAGAACAGTCTACCCCAGTGAGCGAAATAAAGGGTTCAGTTCAACATTCTAACCACCCGAAGAAGCCCGGAGCGTTGTAATAAATATGCCGACAAAGATTAGGACAATAGTCCGAATAATGTAAATAGTGTACATAATACCTCATCTCAGAAATATAGACAGATACCAACAGCTGGCATCAAATAACAAAAATAAAATTGCAGATTCTTAATTGGATTTTATCCAGAATCTTTAAATACACAGCAGAAGAACCAGACTACAAATTATAGCAAAATATTCAATGCATAGACCAATGGTAGAATTATAAATATGTAATACAGATTCTGGCGAGGAAAAAAGTCTCTAGCACGTCCCAATGAACTAACTTTCCCAGAAGCTCATCTATTAATTGATTCAATACAATATTTCCACTTCATATCAGCGGAAAACGTTAGTCCGAGAAAGCGCATGGAGTCATTCTCCCGGATGTTAGCCTCGAACATGCTGATGGAAAACAAAAATGGTTATCTACGACGCTTAAAAAGCAGTTAATCTCATCGTCATTGCCATATTCACAACGTTTCGACCATTGTATGCTCCGGCCTTCTTCAGGTGATTGGAATTTCGAACCGAACCGTTTATTCCGTCCACCGGGGTAGATTGTTCTAGTTCCACGTGCCATGTCTCTTCCGGGTGTCTCAATTATTTCCCTTTAACTCAACTCTAAGTTTTTTGGTTCACCACTGCTGTGGCCTGGTATTGAACTCACAACTCTTTGGCTCTAGTCACTGGATCTAACCAGTGGATAAAAACATTGGTTAAGGTGGCCCGGAGGATAAATGAAAAAATAATTACCGTATATACTCGCGTATCATGCGACTTTTGAAGACCTAATTTTGAAGCTAATTTTAAGAAGGTTGCTTCATTGGTAGTTTGGTCAACGGCGTAGCCAGGACCAGCAGTACATAGGCTAATTTTATATCTCATGTACGATGCGACCCCCTTAAAATTAGCTTCAAAATTAAGTTTTCAAGAGTCGCATGATACGTGAGTATATACGGTAAATAAAAATAAAACCTAAACTGGAATTAATTAAAATATAATTTTTATAAAGATACAGACGAAGTAAAAAAAAAAAAAAAAAAAAATCAAGCGTTCAAATGCTTAACGCAAATTACATTCTACTATTATTCTTATCATATTATTATTATCATTATTATTATTAATATACATCGACACGGTCGTGGGTGAGCGGCAGTAGAAATTTTAATTATTGTGAACTCAATGACCTCGATGGCTATTCCAGAGCTACATACGGTCTAGGATTCAGATTCTTTTTTACTCCTACACGGATTGCCACCCAAGGCTGAAATATTCATTCTTCCTTACTAATTAACCCTAAACTGGAGGGGAAAAGAAATGATTTTTATACCTTTCCCAAATGTATCTACATGGAAGTATCAAAAGAATGCTGCACTTAGTAAAAAAAAAAAGAACTTAGAAGGAAAATTCTCGAGAGTGCCGCTAACGAATTTTATCAAAATATAAATCTACAGCCCGGAATTTTTCCAATATCTCAATTCCTGACTTTACCAAACCAACATACATGACTATTAATGTTAAAATAATTAAAAGAAAACCGTCAGATCCATAATGCCATGTTATTTAACAAATAAATTAATCCCAAACAAAAATAATTCAATTACGATTTTGCCTTATATATATGTATATATTTATTTATTTAAAGACTATCACTTACTTCATTGAATTAAATTATGTCACTTCGCGTCCTCCATAGCTTGCCTGACTGTTTGACCAACATGATAAATATTTATCAGCGATCTTAAATTTAACAATTTTGAAAAACCAGTAACATCTTGTTACTAAATAAAAGCCTTGCATTTTCCTTAGTAGACAAAACGCGTCGGATAAGATATTTTTATCAATTTTTTTTTAGCAAATTTTTAGAGGTATACAGGGCGCGATAGATGAATTTATATTTTTAATTTCGCGCATGCGCGTTGTTTAGTTTTGATGTTGTCGACTGCACAGTATAGTAGAGTCGTTTGGATACCATTTGTAAGAAAAAGAACACCATGACGCAATTAAAACGGAATGGTGTACTGCTTTGTATTCGCACCGGAAGCTCCAATACGAACATTTCAGAGCGTTTGGGTGTCAATGCAGAGAATTCCAAAAGAGTTGGTTGAGTCTAATGATGATTACGAAGGTACGGCAGCCCGGAAAACTGTCTTTGATCGTTCTGATAAGAACTTCCGAATTTATTGTTGAGGGGCTCAGACTCAAATAGAAGGTCTATATCAAGTGCCTTGAGGAGTTAGTGCTGACCTGGGTTAAGAGTGTGACTGTTGGAAGACCCTATGTCTGGCAACAGGACTCTGCACCATGCCACACAAGCAAGAAAACCCAATCATAGCTTTGAGACAATTTCTGCATCACTCCTTACATCTGACTACCTAAAATCAGACTGTAACCCCCGTGATTATTATGTGTGGAGCACATTTGAGCGAGAGACCAACAAAACTCCTTGTAACACCAAAGATGAACTGAAGTCAAGGATTATGGCAGCGTCCACCAACTAAACCAAGGAGACCGTCCAGAAGAGATGCAGGAGATTCCGAAGTCGTCTGGAGGCTACAGTTGAAGTAAATGGCGATTTTATAGAATAAATTTACTCTTTAGTATTTCAAATTATTTTGTGCAATTTTGGTAAGTGTATCTTTTAAAATGAGTTGCCGGTGTGATTTTTCATTTTTGCTTAATTTAGATGACAATTTATCCATCGCACCCTGTATATATATATATATATATATATATATATATATATATATATATATATATATCCCTACTGAAAGCGGTTACACAATTTTCTTTAGCATAGAACCTTTTTAAGCACTCGTCTGGGTTTAATTTTAATGTGTGCTTGAACGTTTTAAAAGCAGGCCAATCAAAAACGTTTTGCTGAGAAGCGAAAGAATTTCTTTTCCTTGTGCTTTTCAAAAGTCTCCCAACAAAATTTGATATTTCAAAAAAAAAAAAAAAAAAATTAAGCAAAAAATAAATTCCTTTGTTTATTTGCCTGAAAATTATCTTGCAAAAAACTGTAGAAGGCGAAGGGAACTGCGAACGTAAATTTCAAGTGGTAGCATCGGTCGCACGCGGGTCAATTCAATAGTCTTGTAAGCAGTGTAGTGCGGGTACAACGTGGAGGCTAATCATTTTAATTCTGTCCCATCGTTGTCGTCTCGAGTTGCCACATTTCTTTTCTTTTTGTTTACATACGAAATACGGCTTGACTTGTTTATTCCAGCCACATGTTGAATATTTCTATCAATTGGTGCAGATGACAAGAACGGTGCCATGGAACTAAACGTAGTCCGAATATAAGAGACATGGCCGTTCAAACAGAAAAATTAAAAAAAATGGATAACCCGGTTATTGAAATATTCCCGAATATACAAAAATGTCGAAATTTATATACATATTTCCAGGCCCATATTTTTCAAGGTCCTTCATTGTAGGCGGGGGATAATTAACCTGTTGTCTATTTGAATAGTCTTGATTCTAAAATAATTTAATAAAAATATGGAAAGAAAGTAACAGAAGGAAGAGAGAGAGGCATAGATGCAATAAGGAACTGCGCAGCGATAAAAAGAGGTAAGGAGACATTAATTGATTGGCTTTCTACGGGCGATCAAACCTTTGCAGGTTATTTAAAAACCCAAAATATTTTTAGATTATGAGAAATTTTTCTTGGAGATAATAACAGTTTAATGATAAAAACAAGACTTTTATAGCGGTTAAGAGAAGAGTTGTATGGGAAATAGAAATTTTAGAAAGGAAAAAGCAAGGCAGAGAGAAAAAGATCCCTGAATTGACAGAGTAGATGAGAGAATGTGAGTGTATGTGTGAGTGAGAGAAAAAAAAAGAGCGTGAAAGAGTGTGAGAGTGTGAGAGTGTAAAAGAGAGAGTGTAAAAGAGAAAAGGCCAAAGCGGGATTGGGTGAGAGAGAGTGAGAGGGAATGAGTTTGAAAGAGTGAGAGAGAGTGTAAGTGTGACTGTGCAGAATTCGAATTTTATTTAATGCCACAATGACTGACGTAAGAAAGTGGGAGAGTGAAAATGTAAGCAAAACCACCTGCTGCTGCTAACATCCCAAGAAACGGCTACAACAACCTCTTATCCTCGAATGCTACCCTTGTCAGCCGGTTTACGTGTTGTTAATAAATATTATAAAAGATAAAATAAACTATTTTATCTTTATTGGATATTTTCGCTGAAGCGTTGAAAATATCTGATAAACAGTGTGCATTTGCGTCTGCTTAAAGCGGAGGGGTCAAAAAAGTCACCCACACCCCACGTTATACATCAACATGTCTCTTGCACTTATACTCAGTATACGATGATCGTACTGTACTATTGTTTTTACGCCACGGCAAAACTTTAGGCCCTACAATAAAAAAGACTGTTTTATTATTGGTGGCTGCTCGTGTTACCAGTCAGATATTTTGACTATATTCCTTTCCTTTTGTAACCCCCAGGAAGGAAATGTGGCAGTAAACGCTTGTGGTTGTGCGTAAGAAAATGAGAGTGGGTGAAAGAGAGTAAGAGAGAGAGAGAGAGAGAGAGAAAATGAGCGAAAGAGTGGGAGAGCGAATGAGTGAATGAGTGAAAGAGTGGGAGAGCGAATGAGTGAAAGAGTGGGAGAGCGAATGAGTGAAAGAGTGGGAGAGCGAATGAGTGGGAGAGCAAATGAGTGAAAGAGTGGGAGAGCGTATGAGTGGGAGAGCGGGAGAGCGAATGAGTGAAAGAGCGAATGAGTGAAAGAGTGGGAGAGCGAATGAGTGGGAGAGTTAATGAGCGAATGAGTGGGAGAGCGAATGAGTGAAAGAGCGAATGAGTGAAAGAGTGGGAGAGCGAATGAGTGAAAGAGCGAATGAGTGGCAGAGCGAATGAGTGAAAGAGCGAATGAGTGAAAGAGTGGCAGAGCGAATGAGTGAAAGAGCGAATGAGTGAAAGAGTGGGAGAGCGAATGAGTGGGAGAGTTAATGAGTGAAAGAGTGGGAGAGCGAATGAGTGAAAGAGCGAATGAGTGAAAGAGTGGGAGAGCGAATGAGTGAAAGAGTGGGAGAGCGAATGAGTGGGAGAGCGAATGAGTGGGAGAGTTAATGAGTGGGAGAGTTAATGAGTGGGAGAGTTAATGAGTGGGAGAGTGGAGATGAATGAGTGAAAGAGCGAATGAGTGAAAGAGCGAGTGAGTGCGAATGAGTGAAAGAGCGAATGAGTGAAAGAGGGAGAGCGAATGAGTGAAAGAGCGAATGAGGAAAAGTGGGAGAGCGAATGAGTGAAAGAGTGGGAGAGCGAATGAGTGAAAGAGTGGGAGAGCGAATGAGTGAAAGAGCGAATGAGGAGAGAGCGAATGAGGAATGAGAAAAATGAGAAAGAGCGAATGAGTGAAAGAGCGAATGAGTGAAAGAGTGGCAGAGCGAATGAGGAAAGAGCGAATGAGGAAAGAGGGGAGAGCGAATGAGTGGGAGAATGAGGAAAGAGGGGAGAGCGAATGAGTGAAAGAGCGAATGAGGAAAGAGCGAGGAGTGCGAATGAGTGAAAGAGCGAATGAGTGAAAGAGTGGGAGAGCGAATGAGTGAAAGAGCGAATGAGTGAAAGAGTGGGAGAGCGAATGAGTGAAAGAGCGAATGAGTGAAAGAGCGAATGAGTGAAAGAGTGGGAGAGCGAATGAGTGAAAGAGCGAATGAGTGAAAGAGCGAATGAGGAAAGAGGGGAGAGCGAATGAGGAAAGAGTGGGAGAGCGAATGAGTGAAAGAGCGAATGAGTGGGAGAGCGAATGAGGAAAGAGCGAATGAGAAAGAGAAATGAGTGAAAGAGAAAGAGCGAATGAGTGAAAGAGCGAATGAGGAAAGAGGGGAGAGCGAATGTGGGAGAGTTAATGAGGAAAGAGGGGAGAGCGAATGAGTGGGAGAGCGAGTGAGGAAAGAGTGGGAGAGCGAATGAGGAAAAAGCGAATGAGTGAAAGAGCGAATGAAAAGAGGGGAGAGCGAATGAGTGAAAGAGTGGGAGAGCGAATGAGGAAAGAGTGGGAGAGCGAATGAGTGAAAGAGCGAATGAGTGAAAGAGCGAATGAGTGAAAGAGGGGGAGAGCGAAATGAGGGAGAGCGAATGAGTGAAAGAGGGGAGAGCGAATGAGTGGGAGAGAATGAGAAAGAGGGGAGAGCGAATGAGTGAAAGAGCGAATGAGCGAAAGAGCGAAAGAGGGAGAGCGAATGAGTGAAAGAGTGGGAGAAAGAATGAGGAAAGAGCGAATGAGTGAAAGAGTGGGAGAGCGAATGAGTGAAAGAGCGAATGAGTGAAAGAGTGGGAGAGCGAATGAGCGGGAGAGCGAATGAGTGAAAGAGCGGGAGAGCGAATGAGTGAAAGAGCGGGAGAGCGAATGAGTGAAAGAGCGGGAGAGCGAATGAGTGAAAGAGTGAAAGAGCGAATGAGTGAAAGAGTGGGAGAGCGAATGAGTGAAAGAGTGGGAGAGCGAATGAGTGAAAGAGTGGGAGAGCGAATGAGTGAAAGAGTGGGAGAGCGAATGAGTGAAAGAGCGAATTAGTGAAAGAGCGAATGAGTGAAAGAGTTGGAGAGCGAATGAGTGAAAGAGTGGGAGAGCGAATGAGTGAAAAAGCGAATGCGTGAAAGAGTGGGAGAGTGAATGAGTTGGAGGGTTAATGAGTGAAAGAGTGGGAGAGCGAATGAGGGGAGAGCGAATGAGTGAAAGAGCGAATGAGTGAAAGAGTGGGAGAGCGAATGAGTGGGAGAGCGAATGAGTGAAAGAGTGGGAGAGCGAATGAGTGAAAGAGTGGGAGAGCGAATGAGTGGGAGAGTTAATGAGTGAAAGAGTGGGAGAGCGAATGAGTGAAAGAGTGGGAGAGCGAATGAGTGAAAGAGTGGGAGAGCGAATGAGTGGGAGAGTTAATGAGTGCAAGAGTGGGAGAGCGAATGAGTGAAAGATTGGAATGGAATCATTCTATTTACGAATTAAAATAGTTAACTAGTTGCATATATTTGTTAACCCAGCTACTAAGTCAAGATTCACAAAGCGAAACACTTTTTACCGCAAACGTCCCGGATGTCAAATAAGAATCCAGTATTTGAAATGATAAAAATCGCCGCCATTTTTCTACAGTTTCAAAAAGGATCTCAGTTTTGAAGAATTCACTTCCTGCCGCGAATTTTATTCTAAATGAAAAAGTACATTTGGTTACGACTAAGTCTTATTTTGTCTTATAAAAGAAGCGGGAAGATGATTGGCGATGTGACAGATTTGCAGAGCAACTGGGACGAAATGACATCAACGGTTGGCATCCACTTTTTGAGACTGTTTGTTTCAGATTTCGTATAGATTTTCTTTTTTAGTAAGATTTTTTTTCAAACACATATCAAGATATTCACTCAACTGTAGAGACAATGTGCATATCTGCACGATTACACGTAAATATCTTTTTTTGGATTCACGTATACAATATCATATTAAAAAAAAATCATCAATAAATACGAATGCTAAGTTCGGCACAAGGACAGTGCTAGGAGAGCATGATGTTTTCAATCTCGAAGAGATCTCTGAATTTTTTTCGACGAGATATTGAAATGCAAAAAACTCATCTTTCAAGTGAAAAATAACAAGCCAATAGATATCACATTTGTAACATGCTGTCCACTGTCAGTGACCAAGCTGAACTTTGGCGCCCTTACAAGTATAATTTTTTTTTAATTTTCACAACGATAAAAACTGAAAATGTAGAATAATGTGTTTATTACAATATAAAACTTAATACAAGTTAAAAAAAAAAAAAAAAAAAAGCATTCATTATCATACCTAAAATATTTTTCTAGCCTTTAGATCTGCAAATCTTTGCATGGAACTTTCTACGCCTATATTCTTTACAAGAACATTTTCTATTGACAAAATAGCCAAACGATTTAATCTGTTTTAAGTCATAGACGACCGCAAGTATATTTTTATAAGCTTTAGTTTTGGTAGATCCCAAACACATGACATTGTGCTCTCGGCCTTGATCGAGCCCCGGGCGATTGCCCGAATTACCAATATCTTGAGCCGGTCCTGTCTACTGTTAGTTATTGTTATCACAGGGTTTCGACCGTTGTACGCTGCAGTTTTCATCAGATGCTTATCGATCCGGGTAACCACGAGAAAATTTCGAACTGAACCCTTTATTGCATCTACGGAGGTAGCATGCTCTCGTTCCGTTGATAATGTCTGGGATATATCGAGTTCTTATTTAATGTTGATCAGTTATTACTTGCCTCGTTTCCACGAAGTCTAACACTGCACTGCCTCCTGATGGATAAAAATGCGTTGGCTCGTGAATTTGGTAACAGTCATTGTGAGTTCAGGCAAACAATAACTGAGCAGTACTCAATAAGAACTAGACGCGATTTCCTTAGAAACGAGAAACAATCTATCCTCGGAGATTAAATAAACGACCCGTTTGGAATTTCCCTGAAGTTTACACGGATCGACAAACACCTGATGAAGGTCGGAATATTGTGATAATAGCAAAATGAGAGCAACAACCCACAAGTAAATAATAGTCTCCTTGTTTTTTGGGTTTTTTTTTATTTGACAGATCACAAGGCTTTTTCATATAAATATCTCGTCGAAAAATCAAGTTTACAGAGATAAACATATTTTAGACCATGTATATTTGAACCTATATGCCATCTATATTTGATTAATAAGTGTGTTAAATTTTGTTCGAAATTTTATATTTACTGACTTAATATAATTATACATCTCAGAATAAATAAGAATAAACATTCTTTGGGATCAAATCCTGATTACATCCAATAGTGTTTCTGGGTGTTTCTAGCATTTAATGTCTGAATTTTTTTTTTTTTTTAATGAAAACGTGTTGGGAGGAGAAGCCGAGAGAGAAAGCTTATAAGCGTCAACAAAAAAAAAAATAAATAAATACAGTTCTGAAAGTGAATACAATCGGCTCTAAATAGACACAGAGAACTTGTAAAGTATCCCCAATCGAAAAATATCCGGTTTTAAAGAATAAGCGATAGGAATAAAATGACTGAGTATAGACAAAACAAGAAAGGCAACTTCTAAGAAATTAGGTGAGGGGGGTATGTTAAACCGAGACATTAAGGGCGGGAAAAGGCAAAGAAAAAGAAATAGATTATTTATCATTTTGGGATCAGTGATTTACATTCCGGGATTTGTTCAGTAGTTGAACACATTTGCGCATTTGAAGAAATAAATTGTCCGCTCATAATGGCTGAAGAATGGTCACAACATCAAGAATGTAATGTAAGAATAGAATTGTCCGAAGAAATTTCGAAATTAAGAAAAAGAAAAGAAAAAAAAAGAAAAGAAAAAAAAAAAAAAAAAAAAAAACATTTTGGAAACTGAATTATACTCGTGTGTAAAATTGCGCTTGAGAAAAAATGATGGGAAGAGAAAGTGGAAGAGATGGGAAAAAGAAGAGAGATGGGCAAGAGTGTGAGAGAGAGAGAGAGGGAGGAAAAAGGAAGTGACTTAGAGGGGGAGGAAAAAGGGGAAGTGACAGAGAAGGAGAGTAACTTAGAGGGGGGAAGGAGAGTGACTTAGAGGGGGGGAAGGAGAGGACTTAGAGGGGGGGGAAGGAGAGGACTTAGAGGGGGGGAAGGAGAGGACTTAGAGGGGGGGGGGGAGGAGACTTAGAGGGGGGGAAGGAGAGTGACTTAGAGGGGGGGAAGGAGAGTGACTTAGAGGGGGGGAAGGAGAGGACTTAGAGGGGGGGAAGGAGAGTGACTTAGAGGGGGGGAAGGAGAGGACTTAGAGGGGGGGAAGGAAAAATTGTTAGCAAAGTGAATGAGGGATAAGATAAAAGGAAACAACTACAGAAACATTGGTTCCAAAACCCAAGGTTTAGTCAGCATTCAACATACAAAGATGGCTATGTAGGAATTCATTACAAAGATAAAGAGTTTTACATCTGCAGACACCAACGTCTTTAGCGTTCATAAAAAAAAAACGAATTAGAAAAACTCCAGGATTTGGGAGAAAAGACGAATGATAAAATGGCGATGCTGATTTGCCTCTCAACAATAGAGAAGTGGCGATTGCTTTGTTAAAAGGCATAACAGATGTGTTTGGTTCAGTGAGCGAGAAAATCAAGGCGGAGCGTAACTGGGTCACGGTCTGATACTTAACCCATTTTTGACGAACCGGGCCTTACTTCTTCATACTTAAAATGCTGCGTGTCTTGTAAAATGAAATTCCTGCGGATATTTTTAGGTTAAATTGACATCTTCATGAATGCCGGCCATTTTTTTTCTCCAGGCAGAGTTTGATATTTGCCCACAAAATTAAGATTTTTTTTTCTTTCGCCTGAAGAATTTAGTTTTTACTATTTAGCAGATGGGGTACTCTAATTACATGGCACACTCAGTAGTAATTAAATGCTCTGGCAATGGCTTGCTGCAGTTTACTTGTACGGAACATGATTGGGGTAGTCCTGAGTATGACGATAAACTACATCCGGCAGCAAGGCCTCTGATTGGGAGATTCTGAGGACTGTGAATGCACCTTATAATTGCTGTTGTTCCAAAGCCCACCCTGACTCAATGTGGCAGCACCTGTCAGGGTCCCAGCTATGGACAAATAGTGAACCCCCTATCAAAACACTATGAAAGTGTAAAAATACATTTTTATAGTAAAAAAATACCAGCAATATATTTTTATATAAAAAAAATACCAACAATACATTTTTATAGTAAAATTACCAACAAAACGCACATACTAACAATCCGTTTAAAATTCTACCAAACAGCCATCATGAAAGACCGTCCTTGGCATTAATCTATCACATATTCTATAATTTCTTAAATCAAACTATTCCACAATATAAGTTCAACAAAATCACAACATAAAAACACACACATCACCATTTCTATTAATCATGTCCACACAAACATGTATATGCAGAAAAGCTAAGTGTCATCTACCATGGATTCAACTGTGGAAGCAGAATAAAATATCATATTTTTATTACTTCCAAGCTCACAAGAAAATTGCATTTCGACATTAAATGACCCATAAGGATGTTGATATGCCGTTAAACAGACAGATCAATCATCATGATTTGTAATTTGCTATTAAATATTTAATTAAAGTACGAAAGGGCATTTCAAATTTGAAATTCAAATGAGAAATTAAGTCGAATAAAATGTTAATATGAATTTAAAACCAATAAATTTGGAAAAGAAATTTTAAAAGTAATTGATATCTCCTTTCCCTAAAATACGATGCTTGGTCTTTGGGGTGAAATTTTTTTTTTTTTTTTCAACGCTCCTACTTGTAGGTGTAGTGCACTATTGTCCCGCTTTGTCGAGTATTTTATGCCACAGTTTTATGCACGTCCCTTCCCAATTCTCGATGCCTTTGGTGGCTGGCAATACTGGACCTTGGAAGAAACATTTGCCGACACAGGTTACGCCTGGTCATTGGAGACGGTCCCAGTTAATGATCTCGGTTGAACTTGTCGACTTTTCTCTTTTTGCTGTTTTTCCTTTGTTTCTCTGTCGTTCTTGCGATAAAAAAAAAAAAAAAAACTTTACGTAGTCAAAGAAGTTTGACGCCAATGTGAAAGATCTGTTGCTTAGTTCTCCAAGTTTTTTACGTTGCTTTTGCTCTTTTTCACAGCCTCTTTCAGTTGACTTATTGCAACGCATACAGTAATCACAGAGTCTTTAGCCAATAGAATGATTTGACACGTGTCGATCGCTATCTATATGCAGAATATGGCCTGTTCCTTGCAGGTAGAGTTTGATGATGGTGTCCGCAATGCTATTAGTTCGAGCTTTCTCAAGGACTGGAGCTTAAGATATAATCTTTCCAGTTAATGTTCATAATTGATCGAAGCTTTTGTTGATGGAATCATTCAAGTGACTTCATGCCTGTACGTAATATATTTTACATACATGTAAATGCATCCAGACATTCGCAGTCGGATATTTATTTATTATTTGCACATAAACTTTGTTTTTAAATGAATTAATTTAAATTAATTTATTTAAAAACAAAGTTCATGTGGAATTCACAGAAACGCCTAACTTTCTAGAGAACCCAAAGCAACCCCGAAGAAATGTGAGCCTGCATTCTTGAAATATGTATTCTGAAGAAACAAAATTAAGAAACTTTATTACTTGTTCTCTGTTAGGGTAAAATAAAATGAAATAACAAAAGAGTTCGCGTCTCCAGTTTCCCGATCGTAAAATATTTTCTTTTCATAACCATTTTCAGCAAGCTGAAAGAACCCGTTTCACATTTTAAAAAAACACGAAGGAAAATATTTTTCAAAACGGCTTAAATAACATTTAAATTAAACAAAATGCCACGCTGTTATTCGTTCTGCCTATCTGGTAAAAAGATCAGAATCAATTGAACACAATACGAGTTTTGTCAGAAGACGTACAGTATTATTTGTCTGGTCACATTTCATGAAAGTTTCAAAAATCTAAGATAAAAGTCCAAAGTGCGTGGATTTCCGCTCGCAATACTGAAAATTAAATTTGTGACAACAAATAATTGCGGTTTTCTCATGACATTTCCCTGTACGCCCACTCGAATTTAGCACATGGTCAAGTTTAAAGTGAAACCACCCCGCGAATATGAGATTGAAAGCTAAATTTGGTCAACTCTCCGGGAGGATTCATTCGAACAGAATTTGGTACAAGTGAGAGTTTCACTCTGAAGAAAAGTTACTCAGTTCCTTAGCACTTCTCTATTAGGATTTTTATTTGATTTATTTTTTTACGGCTTGTCAACACTTTGTGGCTTATCTAAAGCCGAAATATTTTAAATTATAAGAATTTATATTTGCGAGTAAATGTTGCATTAACAATGGTTTTAGAATAAAAATTTTTCCAGATACAATTCTTACTATTTAACCCATACTTGGGGGCGTTGAAGAAATGGAGTTATACCTTTCCAAATGATATTTGCGCGGAAGTAAATACAACGAAACCGACAATCCGATTTTCCCATTCCAAGACTGACCCTCCCCACCTCCATCATGATGGGAGGAATTCTGTCTATGGTGCCCCCACTTGAGTTGAACATGTCAATAGGACAACATAAAAAATATTACCGGTTCCTGCTTAATAGAGATACTCAACTTTTAAAAAGCTTCTTTTTTTTTTTTAATGACTGCTTCAGTATCTGTCTATATTTCTGAGATGAGGTATTATGTACACTATTTACATTATTCGGACTATTGTCCCCATCTTTGTCGCCATATTTATTGCAACATTTCGGCCTTTCAGTATCTGTCTATATTTCTGAGATGAGGTATTATGTTCACTATTTACATTAGTCGAACAGACAACTGACATCCATTAAAACATGGTACGTGGAACAAGAACAGTCTACCCCAGTGAGCGAAATAAAGGGCTCAGTTCGACATTCCAACCATCTGAAGAAGGCCGGAGCGTACAAGGGCCGAAATGTTTTAATAAATATGGCGACAAAGATGAGGACAATAGTCCGAATAATGTAAATAATGTACATGGTAACTGTCAGTTTCACAGCTCAGGCAACAATTATTCATTTTAACATCTTCTAGCATTCCTGATTACTATAAAACTAAAAGGCCGAAAAGTTGTGATAAATATGGCAAAAGATGAGGACAATAGTCCCAATAATGTAAATCGTGTACATAATACCTCATCTCAGAAATATAGACAGATACTGAAGGGCCGAAACGTTGTAATTAGTATGGCGACAAATAGTCCTAGTAATGTAAATAATGACTGCTTCAGTGATTAATTTTCAATTTACTTTTTATGACCTCTATTAATAAGCAATTAATTTCTTGAAGGTTTTTATAATTAAATTGTTTAGTTATACAAGTTATTTTCTATTGTGAAAACGTAACTACCTTAATATTTAGATTTTTGCATTTTATATTTATTTACCAAATGAAATCATGTTTCTGTATGTGACAATAAGAAATTTTATTGATCAATTATGGAAGATGATGTCATGCAAATTTTCCCTGGTTGCTATTTCACAAATGTACGTTTTCTGCCAATTATTGCGTAACTTTTGGAACACCCGGTATAGTGATTTTGCAAGCTCAGATGTGGCACAAGTCCGAAAGTATGGGGCACCCAGTAAGAATCGAACTCACTACTCAGTCGTAATTGTTCTAGTGAGACAAGCTTGCTAATCATTACACCACCTCGAGGTACACACGGAACCCCTTGTATAGATGGAGATCAAATCGACTGCCGACAAAAATAAAAATAAATAATATTATCTCCATGAGACTAAGTCGTTGTGATTTCAAATGAATGCTAATGAATGCAGAGATTTTCTTTCTTTTTTTTTTTTTTCGCAGAATATTTTGGTAATTCGTTTGTACAAACAATGTAAGTTTTCAAGATCTGTTCTTTGTGTTTAGAAAGTCTATTACGTCCAGAGTCTACTAATTATCACTAAGAAAACAAGTACGACTCGTATGTAAATCATAAGTATTTAAACACTTGTTCTTTTCATACCATTAAATGGTACCGATTCTTCTGTCTGTTCGTCTGTCGTTTTCGTGAGAGGCACTTCATGCACGATGTTTATTAATAAATAATAAGAATTACTTTAACGTTAGTCAGAGATTTTTGTTTAAAATGCCAAATTGAAAGTATTTTTAAAAAAAAAACTCATGAGTAATGATCTGTAAGATCTGAATGCTCATCAGTTAACGCGAACTGCTCTCCAGCCTGTATCTTCCTTATTGAGTAAGCCTGAAATGTAGCTTAAAAGCCAAACGTTCGTCAAACGAACATCTATCAAACTATACCATCTTGGGTAAACATAAGAATTACTTAGAATACAAATTAAGAGATGAAAGCGCTTACTCTTTATAAATCGCGAGGCTAGACGCAAATCTTAGCATAGTCTGGCAAAGAACTGAACTCCAAAAACAATAGTCTATCTTACTGGCCATTACTCTATGCAAATCGCCAACGAAATATAAAATTAAAGAATTAATATCTTGAAAAAGCTTTAAGATATTTAACAGAACGCGTACTCGTTCTAAATGCAACACAAGGCCTTTTTACCTTCCATCTGCACACGACTAATAATAACATCCAGGACAGTGACTTGTTGCGCTTTTTCGGTCTAGCAGATTCTGCGGACATGAAGTTGAAAGATATCAAATCCATTGCTAAATCTGCTGCTAAGAAAGTTTGTTCACTATGTCTTTCGAGACAATTTTTTTTTCTCACCACAATCTATCTTACATATTTACAAGTCTACCATTCGTCCATACTTACAATATTGCTGCCACATCTGGTCTGGTGCTCTTGCACCAGACCAGATGTGGCAGCAATGTGTCTATTTAGAGATCCTTGATAAAATCCAAAGAAGAATCTGCAGTGTCATTGGTCTGATATCTAGGCTTCGGTCACTTCCCCATCGCCGTAATGTAGATTCCTTATGCATTTTCTATAAGTACCTTCCTGGTAATAATTCTGACGAACTCTCCTCTATGGTAACTAATCTCTTTGAATGTAAGCGCGTTGCGAGATTGGGGGCAAAATCTCATTATTTTACCGTTGAAATTGCTAGATGTAACCGTAAGTTCTATACTAACAGTTTCTTCTCTCGCACTTCTCGCTTGTGAAACTCTTCCGGTTTCTTGCTTTCCAAATCAACTTTGACCTTCAAAAATTTAAATGCAATGCCAATCATCATCTTCTGTCTTAATTCCGCTTCTTTTATTGTTCTCGCTCCTTAATAATGGTTTACCTTCTTAATTTATGTTCTGGCTTAACGCCACTTTACATTGATACACCGATCACCGAAGTTAAGCAACGTCGAGCCTGGTCAATACCTAGATGAGTGACCGCTTAGGAATATCAGGGAATATCGTAAGCTTAGATGTGTGGGTGGTGTAATGGATAATGGCTCGGAAGAGACGAGTTCCAGTTGAGTTCGTTATATTCACAAATACTGCAAATATTGTTGGGAAAGGTAAAAATCCGTCTCTTAAGACTTGTAACACTAAAAAGTATTATTATCTCCTCTAAAAATAAAAAAAAAATAAAAATTGCGTACAAAATATTTAGATTTCGGCATTAAATAACCCATAGATGTGTTCATATGCCGCTAAAATAAAATATGTTTTTCAAAGTGTATTTATTTATTTACATCTACCGACCTGAATATTCGAGAAATCTTGCTGAAAATTTGAGGGCGCATATTCTTCTAACAAGATTTCTCAAATATTCACAAATACCCAAGCCAGTAGATGGAAATAAATATACTGTTTAATAATAAAAACAGAACATCTACTCAAATATGAGTATCCATTAAAAATAACGTTTAAACAAAATAAATTAAAAATATGTCGGATTTAATCCATTTCATATATATTTAAAATAAAAACAGACCACTTTAAGGTTCCATTATAATAATTTATTTCACCAGAGCCTTTTTAAAGGACGCTGGATCATCAGATAGCACTTCCAAAAATGAAATGAAACAAAAAATGAAATTAAAATTGATGGGTAGTGTAAGTTTTTGTAATTTAACAGAGAGTGTAAAAGGAGTAGTTAAAGAGACATCGTAGAGTTTAGGGAGGGATTAATTTCATATCTCTCTCAAGCATACTTAGTATTGGAGGGGGAGGAGTGACCAGACCTTGACCTATTTACACGGTTAACTTAACGGAAGTGATATATTGAAATGGGAGGGGAGAAAGGAGAAAAGAAAATGGTAAAAGAAAGAAGAGGGAGAGGGAAGTAAAGAGAAAGAGGCTGTAATTGGGTTTTAGCAATTTATGTAAAGAATAGATTTTAATGCTGATAGTAATTTAGATGTCAAAAAAATAAAAAAAAAACGGGAAGAAATTAATATGATGCTTGCTATTAATTTAAATATTTAATTTTTTTTAAATAGTTTAGGGATTTAATACAAGTTAAAAACTATATTTATTAACACATTTATAGATAACATATTAAAAAATTTAAATTATAACAGTTTGTTTACCCGACCAATTGTACTTTTTTAATATTGTAAAAAATAGTTACGGTAACATCTTTATCAGTTTAAATCTAATTTATGAATGCAATTTGTAATTATTTTTATATGGGTAATCTTTCTTACTTAAAGTTTACGTTTAATATATATATATATTTCTCAGAGTTAACTTATAGAAAAAGACAATATGTATAAAGGTAAAAGACAATAGGAAAACAGTATTATTAGCCGACGCGTTTCATCCAATGTGGACTTTTCCAAGGCAAAAACGAAATGAATTTATTAAAAACAAAGTAACTATTAACAACAAAACAAAATGTCCTCTGCATTAAATTATTCTAGTTGCTAAGGACATTTTGGAATCGATGAACCCAGTTCAAATTCCAACTGCAACTTGCGTTCTTTCTTTTATTTCTATTTGTCGTGTCCATTCAGGACGTAGGCGATCATGGCTCTCCACTTCCCCCTATTCTTTGTAGCTTTCAATAAGTTTCGTCTCTCTACCAAGTCTCTCAGACCAAGTTCTGTCATCCACTTGCTTAAGCCAGTCAGGTATTCCATGCGTTGCTTTCCCTTGTCTCTTTCCCTCTGTTCGACTTGTGAGCATCAGATTCTTCAAGCCCTCCTTTCTCATTACGTGTTCCAGAAACCTCAGCTGCCTCTTCCAGATATTAAGTATAAGGTTCCTCCTCAAAAACTTCATTGTTGTTCACACGTTGGGTCCATGATATCCTCAGCATCCTTCTGTAGAACCACATGTCCGTCGCCTCGAGTTTCTTCTTCATATTTGAGGAGACCGTCCAACATTCGCTGACTTAAAGGAGGACAGATGTCACGTAGCAGCTCAGAACTCTTTGCTTTATTACCAAAGAAATCCTCCTATCTCCGTAATACTCTGCCCAGTTTTTGGAATGTGTCCTTGGCCATCCCAATACGTCTTCAGATCTCAGCGTCGCACTTACCGTCCTCTGTCAAAACACATCCCGGATATTTAAATTTCTGCACCTGCTTGATTTTAGTGTCCCCGACCTTCAAATTGCAGTTCGGGCTCATCTTTTTACTGACTTCGCTTTAATAACCTGGGAAAAGGTACGAATCCATCGCTTCTCATAAGACAACTCATCTACGAGAGGGAAAGCTTTGACAAGACGACACATCTACGAGAGGGAAAGCTTTGACAAGACGACACATCTACGAGAGGAAAGCTTTGACAAGACGACACATCTACGAGGGGAAAGCTTTGACAAGACGACACATCTACGAGAGGGAAAGCTTTGACAAGACGACACATCTACGAGAGGGAAAGCTTTGACAAGACGACACATCTACGAGAGGGAAAGCTTTGACAAGACGACACATCTACGAGAAAGGAAAGCGAGGGAAAGACAAGACGACATCTACGAGAGGGAAAGCTTTGACAAGACGACACATCTACGAGAGGGAAAGCTTTGACAAGACGACACATCTACGAGAGGGAAAGCTTTGACAAGACGACACATCTACGAGAGGGAAAGCTTTGACAAGACGACACATCTACGAGAGGGGAAAGCTTTGACAAGACGACACATCTACGAGAGGAAAGCTTTGACAAGACGACACATCTACGAGAGGGAAAGGACAAGACGACAACGAGAGGAAAGCTTTGACAAGACGACACATCTACGAGAGGGAAAGCTTTGACAAGACGACACATCTACGAGAGGGAAAGCTTTGACAAGACGACACATCGAGAGGGGAAAGCTTTGACAAGACGACACATCTACGAGAGGGAAAGCTTTGACAAGACGACACATCTACGGGGGAAAGCTTTGACAAGACGACACATCTACGAGAGGGAAAGCTTTGACAAGACGACACATCTACGAGAGGGAAAGCTTTGACAAGACGACACATCTACGAGAGGGAAAGCTTTGACAAGACGACACATCTACGAGAGGGAAAGCTTTGACAAGACGACACATCTACGAGAGGGAAAGCTTTGACAAGACGACACATCTACGAGAGGGAAAGCTTTGACAAGACGACACATCTACGAGAGGGAAAGCTTTGAAAGACGACACATCTACGAGAGGGAAAGCTTTGACAAGACGACATCTACGAGAGGAAAGGACAAGACGACACATCTACGAGGGAAAGCTTTGACAAGACGACACATCTACGAGAGGGAAAGCTTTGACAAGACGACACATCTACGAGAGGGAAAGCTTTGACAAGACGACACATCTACGAGGGAAAGCGACAAGACGACACATCTACGAGAGGGAAAGCTTTGACAAGACGACACATCTACGAGAGGGAAAGCTTTGACAAGACGACACATCTACGAGAGGGAAAGCACAAGACGACACATCTACGAGAGGGAAAGCTTTGACAAGACGACACATCTACGAGAGGGAAAGCTTTGACAAGACGACACATCTACGAGAGGGAAAGCTTTGACAAGACGACACATCTACGAGAGGGAAAGCTTTGACAAGACGACACATCTACGAGAGGGAAAGCTTTGACAAGACAACTCATCTACGAGAGGGAAAGCTTTGACAAGACAACTCATCTACGAGAGGGAAAGCTTTGACAAGACAACACATCTACGAGAGGGAAAGCTTTGACAAGACAACACATCTACGAGAGGGAAAGCTTTGACAAGACAACAACACATCTACAAGACAACACATCTACGGAGGGAAAGCTTTGACAAGACAACTCATCTACGAGAGGGAAAGCTTTGACAAGACAACTCATCTACGAGAGGGAAAGCTTTGACAAGACAACTCATCTACGAAAAAGACAACAAAACAATGAAATGATTAACGGGAAAACACTCCGCACATTTCCCCCAGTAGACGTTATGACAGTTCATAAATAGCGGAATAAAACTATAAATAGGACAAAAACAGTGCGGTTTCGTTAAAGACACTGGAACAAGGAATGCAATATTTATGCTCGTAATGATATCAGGTGCAGAAATACAAATATATAAAGATATATACCTATGTTTTATAGATTATGTAAAAATGTTTAATGAAGTACGGCACAGAATTGTTTGAACTGCCAGGTAAGCTCGATGTATTTGAGAAATATTTCAAAATCATCCAGAACTTATACTGGGTGTAAACTGCTTTCATATGGATAGAAAATGAATTCAGTATAAATACAAAAACTAGAAAGGAGTACGAGACAAGGGTGCTTCTTCTTGTCAGACTTATTCAATCGTTACAGTGAGACGATTCCCGGATAATTAGAAGTCTTTACCCGGATTCATTACTAGCGACAACAATCTTAACAATATGAGATATGCAAATGACAGTGTTGATAGCAGACAGAAATTAAACTACAGTAATTCCTATATAATGTAGTAAAGGAAAGCGAGAAGAAAGGACTAACTATCAATTGTAAAAAGGTAGAATGTATAGTTGTCAGCAAAAGGAACACCCAAAGATACGAACTACGGATTGGAAACACCAAAATAAGCAAGTACGAAAAAATTAAATAACTAAGAAGCATTTTAACAGAGGGAAAATGTGACAGCGAAATCCGGACGCATTGGAAGAACGAAAGATGCCTTTTAAAAGCTAAGCAAAATATTAAAAAACAAGAAAATTTCGTTAGAAACAAAGAAAACGGTATTTAGATGATATATAATGTTAGTTCTCCTAAATGACAGTGAATGCTGAACAATCTCTTTGCAGAGACGAGAGGCAACAGAAATGTGGTTCTACAGAAGGATACTGAGAATTCCATGGACTGAATATGTGACTGACGAGGAAGTTTTAAGGAAAATAGAAACAAAAAGGATACTTATACTGAGAATCAGAAATAGGAAACGGAAAAGTCTAGGGTACATAATGAGGGCTTGGAGAATTTGACACTCAGAGGATACAGTGAAAGTAAGATGGACAGAGGAAAGCAGCGAGTAACCTACATAACGGGTTTGGTTGGCAGAACAAGAGTTAGGAGCAAAGACAAAGCCTACTGCGAGCTTCAAAAGACTGGAAGTGGTGGAGAGCCATGATCACCCACGTTCTGAAGAGACACGGCACAAAGAAGAATAAGTATCTGTAATTTGTGTTTTGATTCATAAAGTTGTTGGCAAAGAGATTATTTTTTAAAGATATTGGCGATTTTTGCCAAGAAATATACCCCAAAACGTGAGATATTAAACAAAATAAAAAGCGGCTTTTTCGAATGGAAACATTCAAGTTAAAAACCTGGCTGTTCTGCAACTAAAGAATTGTGAACTGTCGATTGTGGTATTTCTATCGGTTATGTAACCTAGAAAAGGTTACTGAATGAGGAATAACCAAAACGGAGGTTGGAAATACAATATTCGCCAGCGGCGTGAAGTAGGTAAACCACTGCTAGTGGTGGACTACTTAGCATATTACCCTCACTTACAATAGTGTCCAACATATTTATGAGGATGGGGACATACCCATTAGTTCTGCGATTCTTTTTTCGGGTGGCACGTTCCCGTTAAAGGAAAAATAGTAAAAACAGGGAATTCACTTCCGCACTCAAAGCAAGGATATGAATGTACTGACCACACTCTTAACAGACACATGAAGACAAGATTCCGAAGAGGAGATGGAATACATTCACATAGGTTCACAATGGGAGTGGTAGCCAGTCACGTGATGCTTCACCCATTTTTTAACCAAAGAATTGATTCAGGGAGTCGTTTTGAAAAATGGCGACACTCAACCACAAGTGTTTAGATATTTTTGAACACGAAAATGTCACACCCACATGGAATATATTCAAAACAGACACAATGCAACCAAGTTTATTTGCTTTGGCCACTAAAATTCTTATTTATAAACAAAGGGGCGAAAATTGCAAGCAATGTTTTTTCTTCTCCTGATCAGTCGTTATCTACGCTTTCGCAAACTTTCCCATAGTTTTTTTTAAGAGGGTTTTTTTTATTATTATTTTTACTTAGTATAAGACATGCACGGGGAGGTGCTGTTAGAACGGAACTCATTATAGCAAGTGAATATGTAATTATTTTAAATTAATGTTACATTAAATAAGTTACCTCATTGTGAGTAGAAAGTTTCGCTTATTGTCCGGTTCACACTTCTCGCTGGCCTTTTGAATAGGAGTCGAGGCTTATACCTTGTTTCCTGTTTTGGATTAGATTTCTGACTCCTAAAAAAAATTCCTTCTCTTTCACTCCCAGTAAACCCTTGCATCTTAGTGGTATTATCTTGATTAAATTGATTAAAACAAAAAAGTTGCTAAAAACTAAAAGACTCTCCTTGCTTTGAGTGTGGAAGTGAATTCCCTGTTTTTACTATTTTTCCTTTAACGGGAACGTGCCACCCGAAAAAAGAATCGCAGGACTGGTTGTTAAGTCGTTTGTGTTGTATTGAAGAAAAAAAAAGGCGAAGAACACTTATGGGTATGTCCCAATCCTCATAAATACATTGGACAAAAGACTTAAGAGGGAATAGGAAACCCAATCCTAAACTGCGAACAAGAGATAAACCTCTGATTCTGTTCAAAATAACGGGAGGAGTGTGAATCGGGCGATAAGCGGAGCTATCTACTCCTGTTAAGAAAAAATAAATAAATAGTAGATAAAATGTCAGAGATTAGGTGAAGACGTTAGAAGTATAGAATTGAAGTAGACTTTAGAAGGAATTGGAAACCCAATCCTAAGCAGGAAACAAGGGGTAAACCTATTTCTGTTCAAGAGACCGAGGAGGAGTGTGAACCGAACAATAGACAAACCTATCAACTCCTATTGAAGAAACATAAATAAATAATAAATGAAATTTCAGAGTTTAGGCTTGACCATCTGACGCTTTACCATCCATTTTTGTTCCCAATCAGCCATCAATTCACAAAAACTGTTTAGGTTAAAGAGCTCGCTCCTTTCCTCAATACGCCATCAATATCTTCTTCCATATATGTGTCAAGAAATTTCATCTGCTTCTTTCGAATTTTAAGTATTAGTGTCTTTCTGGTTTCCAATGTCTTGAGAACTTCCTCGTTGATCACATGGTCTGTGCATGTTATTCTCAGCATCTTTTGTGTCGCGTCTAATCAACTGTAAGGAAATTATCCAGCACTAACTGCCATACAAGAGGATGGATATGACACAACAGTTCAGCACTCTTTTTTGTTTCTATTGAAATATTTCTGTCTTGACACTTTGCTTGGTTTCTGAAAATTATTGTCCATTATTCCAATATGCCTTCAGACCTTTGTCACACATTCTGTCACCTGTTACTACTAGACATAATGAATCAATCTCATCAAAGATGAAGAGACTTGATGCAACAAAAATGTGACTCTACAGAAGGATGCTGATGATACCATGGTTCGAACATGTGAGAAACGACTGGATTTAATAGAAAAAAAGAAAACTTACATTTAACATCAGGAAAAGACAGTTGAAATTTCTAGGGCACATAATGAGGAAAAAGAGCTTGGAAAATTTGATACTCACAAGGACAAATT